TACTGCTGTGCCACCAGTGTGCTTGACAACCAGCCAGTGGGGCACCTCCTCCCTGCCAGTTGCTAGCTGGGGAACCTCCCCCCCCAGTTGCTGACTGGCCACTGGGGACACCCCTCCAGTTATTCCCCACTGGTGCCCCCCCAGATGTAGGAGGCACCAGTCACCCACGGAGGGAGGGGGACAATGGGGACAGTGCTAAGAGAGAAAAGTAAATGAGCATTAAACCCCTAGGGGTTCAAAAAAAGCTAATCCAGGTAATGAATAAGAATTCGTAGGCCCTGTTTAAACCATACTTTACACAGTTCAGTTTGTGGATGATTTCTTGTTCTACAGTTTCCCATTCAAATTGGTTTTTAATTTTTTTTGCTTGAAACAGCAATTTCAAGGTAAGGATAGAGTGTCCAGATTGGTTGAAGTGTTCTGCCACAGCCTTTTGTGTCTTTGATTGGTGTCAACGCTGATGCCAGATTGGTGTTCATTCATTCTTACACGTAGAGATTACTGTCTGATGTAGACAGCAGAAGGCATTGTATTAGATCACATAAGTACTTCTACCATACAACCTTTAAAAAACACATTATTTAAATGGAATTTCCATAATAGAATATTTAAGATACTACCATCCTGTCTTCTGCCTGGGATAGGAAATAATTACAGTCTATCAGAGAATGTGATAACTATCAACAACTATTGGTAACTTCTGTGCTTGCGATTTATGAAGTGAAAATTATTTTAAAAACCCCAAAAAATAAACCTTAAGAACATTCAGAAGAAGGAGGTATGGGAAATTATGGAAGAGAGATGATATCAGCATGTCTAGGCTAATGTTTAAAACCTCATACAAATATAAATAAAGTATGCAAATATATAACTTTGAAATCAGGATACATTTCAAGAAATGCCTATCTTTGTAAAACTATTATGTTAACAAAACTAAAGGGGTAGTCTGTTGTATAGGGACAGAACAGAGAAAGATATTAGAAGCTTCTGTGTATAGAATTACAGTGGACTTAGGACTTGATACTGTTTTCACATGGTCAGTGGAAACATTCTTGTCAACCTCAGTAGTGTATGCCAGGCCTTTAAACTCTGATATGCAGTACACTTGCTGCTATAACACTTGTTCTAATCAAAATAGTCCACATACGTGAGGAGAAGAATGGCAGAATTTCAGAGCAATGTTATGACAAAACAAGGGCAGAACAATAACTTGAGCAGCTCTGTGTGTGCCTGTAAGGTAAGGATGAGGCCTTTGACCTGACTCTAGATAAATGGCAAGACAGTGACGTTTCAGATTACAGACATTATTGTGCTAGGCAGTTAAGAGATCCTGATAGACTGGATTTGAAAAGATATGCTTGAATATGTGTTTAGTAAACAAAGTAGCTTATATTAAGACTCTGAGAGAGGGCACAATAAGTTATTTCTACTAAAATCATCCTTCATCCCAGATTCACAATACTCTGAAATAATAATGATTGATTCTCTTTATGCTTGACTATGTTGTAAGCTGATCATGTACTATTTAATGAGGTTTAATGCTTACATAAAATACAGCAACAGATCATTCTTTTTAACATAACATTATTTTGAACATAAATGTGCTTGTTAGTACTTAAATGTTTTGGAAAGACAGGAAAAGAATGAAATTATTTTATTAAGGAAAATGTCCAGTTTGAAATATTGCAGTACTTTTTTTCCAAACATATATGAGGATTTCTAAGACATAAGGTTAGTTTATATATCCAGAGAGATGGTGACTGAAAAACATATAGTTATTGTTTTTAAATACTTTAAACTACATAGTAGAGTGACTATTAAAATTATGACATTGTTTGCCACAGTAATACTCATATTTATTTTTATCAGGGTTTTTTTTTCTCTCTCTCTTAAGTGCTGCAAGCTCATTATGGGATCTGTAAATCAAGTTGTGTTATTTCATGCATCACTGCAAGTAATTATGTATTCTGTAATTAGTTAAGAATTCTGGTGATGATTTACATCCAGATATACAACCCCTATTTACTTCCATGCAGCTTAGCTGTGTTGGTTGTGAAATGCTGAGTGTGTTTATGTGCTGCAGCCAAAAGAGTCTCTGTAGTTCACAAACACCTGTCTGACTCACGTTAAGCTAGCTAGGTCAGCCACTGATGGTAAGGTGATCACAGCAACACAGGGTTCAGAAAGTTTAGCAAAAGTGTGCCATTTTACATTTCCCCTGATGTCACATTTCTCCTTAATGTGTTTTATGCTCCCTCTTTTGAAAATAATCTCTTAAATTAGTGAATCCTCTACTGCAATGTGTTCCTGTATCTCTAATGATCAGGAGAGCTATTTAAATGTCTGGTTTCTATTTCCACTGGGATTTGCAACTAAAGAGATCTTTATTGTATTCTTTATCAGGCAGTTCTAAGGTTTTTAATGACTTTTTCAATAAATGCTGCAGAATCCAAATTTATGATCTATAACTAACTACCTAAAATCTCATCCTTTTAAAGCCTGAAGCAACAGAGTGGCTGGAAATTAGAGTCTACATAGGTAGAAAGGCCATTGTTTCTTTCTTTGGTCCTGTATCTTAAGTTTCAAAGAATAACTTTACTTTTCTCTTGAACCAATTTAGTCATACATAAGAATGCAGACCTAACACCAGTTTGGGGCTAGATTATGGAATTTATGCCATAGACTTGCATTAGCAGAAGTGTTAGAAAGATGATCCAGTAGATTTGGGATCCAGCCTCAGAAACCCCATGCTTAATTCTTGGTCACAAATGCCTTGTGTTCCCTTGAGCTAGTCACTTATCCATCCTGCATCTCACCCTCCCAATCATAAAATGAGGATAAGAGTTTCTTACCTTAGAGAAATGGGTCATTATGAGGCTAACATTAATGTTAGAAAGACACTTAGGCTAAGCACAGACATTCAGTTGATCCAACCTACACAGGTTTCTCTAAACTGCGTAGACTGGAATGGGAGTGAATGGAGCGTAAGTTTGCCCTTTGGTGGGGGGAGGCAGGCAGATGCCTGCACTGGCTAAAGCCAGATGGAGGATGCTCCTGGATGCCTCCCTGTGCGCCAGAACTTGCCAAGGGCAGCCAAATGCAGCCAAACATGGGCCATCCCTGACTGGCTGTCAGGTACATGCCTCAACCCCCTGCTGTCACTGCAGTGCCCAGCCCTAGGCTTCCAGAGCAGGTCATGATGGTATGTCTGGCAGCCTAGCTGGTGGTGGCACTGGGAGGGGGCACTCCACAGATAGAAAGTTTGGGCCTCTCAGAGCAATGGGGGAGGTGGGAATGGAAGTTTCAGTTCTGTCAGATCACAGCCTGTCTGCCAGCTGCAGCTCCTGGCTCAGCTAGCAGACACCCTGGAGCAGGCGGGATGGGGAGTGAACAGGGAAGCTTCCCAACTCGGCTGGCCAGCTGGGTTGGTCTCCACAGCTCCATCCCCCACACAAAGCCGCTGCCTCTCAGCAGCAGGGGAGTGGACGTAAGTAAGGGAGGGAAACACAGTGCCCACCCAGAGCTGGGGTCTGCACAGCTGGGAGGGGTTTACATGGCAGGGGCTTTCCTCCTCATTGCCTTTGCCCAGCTGACCAGCTCAACTGGTGAGCCCAGCCAGGCAGCCATGCAGGGGAAGCAAGGGGGGGAATCCCCCGACTATGTGGACCACCCCAGCTGTACAGACCCCATCCGGGGCAGGGGAGGGGGGGAGGGCCAGGGCAGGAAGCTCCATTCCTCGCTCACCTATCCCTTCTCCCCCGCTGCTGAGAGGCAGCAGCTCGTGGAGGGGCAGAACTGTGGAGGCTAGCCCAGCTGGGCAGCTGAGCTGGGCAGGGACAGTAAGGGGGAAAGCCCCCACTGCATAGGCCCCACCAAGCTGTGCAGATCCCAGTCCAAGTGGGGAGCCATGACCAAGGTGGGGAGCTCTATTTCTACTCTCCCTTCTATTACCCCAACCCCCTTTGCCCTGCCTGGTGACAGATGCAAACAGGATGCAGGGCTGGAGAGCAGAGGCTTTGTTGCCTCAGCTCTGTGACAGCCTGGGGGCAGGGCTGGCTTGGAGCTTGGATGGAGCAGAGGAGCATGGGCAGAGGTTAGCCTTCCTGCCCTGCAAAGAAGTCATGGTTAGCAGGGGCCCACAGAGGATCCTCAGATGCTGGAGGACAGTGACCTAAGTTGAATCAGGAAGGGATCTGGTACAGAAGTTCAATAGACCAGTCTAACCTAAACTGATTAAATCTGCATGCATCTAGACATGCACTTTACTGTGAAGTTGAATAATTAGCTCCACTGTAAAGCATCATCGTCTATACAAGCAGTATGCTATTAGGCCACAGTAAACTAATTAACTCTGCTGTAGGGTAGCACTGCCCAACACAGGTACAATTCTATACTAAAGTTATTTTGTGCACCACAGCACATGTATAGATGGTGACTAGGGCTAGCTGGAGCATGAGGATGCTACAGTGCGGGGGCTGCCTGCTGGCTAGCCCTACACTGTAGCACCCTCATGCCCCAGCTAGCCCCACTGAAGCATGTTGAGCTGGGTGGAGGGGGAGCAGATCTGGGCTGGCAGGTTGACCTCTCAGGTCCCCTGCCAGCTGGGGCTGTGCCATCCCAGTTCAACATGCTATGGTCTTGGGTGCACGTGTAAATGCTGTAACCAGATCCAGGACTGAAGCTTTGCACACCCCTAATAACTATACCACAATGGTTTTAAGAGACTTCAGATTTTGCAAAGGTTTTGGAAATGCTCCAGTTAAAGTTGTTAGACAACTTATTCTACATGTGTTCCGGAGTAGGAACCTGAGTTTTACATCTTGAATTGAGTGATATACATGTGTATATGGAAAGGATATTTGTAAGCTATACAATATAACAAATTTAAACTTCATTGTAAAAATGAAGAATTTAGTGATGCAAGCAATTAATATACCCAGCAGTTAATTTGTGGTGATCTCACGGACAACGTCTTTATTTTTGTTGTTCTGATTTTACAGTATCGGTCAGGACGAGATCATCAGCGAGGCTCAGACAACATTTCCAATAAATCTTCAGACAGCGATGTCAGTGATGTGTCAGCTGTCTCTAGGACAAGCAGTGCTTCTCGTTTCAGCAGCACAAGTTACATGTCTGTCCAATCAGAACGACCGAGGGGAAACAAGAAAATAAGGTGAGTAGCTGGGAGCTGTAATGTTAGCCTCTGAATTAAAGTTCCAGTGAGTTGGACACCCTTTTCTGGTAAAAGTTGGACACCCTTTCCTGTTAAAAGTATGAGTTAGCTATGTTCCTAAACTTTAATGTATGGACTATTAATAATACTTAAGGAGCTTTGCAAAATACAGGATTTGGGGTTCTCTTGTTAATGTTCCTTCAGTTTCTTATGTTATTTATTTTTAAATAGAATGTTTTTCATATGGAAAAGTTTAGCATCATGAAATGTCACTTGCTTGTCAGAAGGCATTTGTGACACCTCAACTTATATCTTTTAAAGACAGAGTTTAGTAAAAAACTCAACAGTTTCAAGGGTAGTTTAATTTACAAAATACTTGGCTGACTATGATAGAGAAGAATTGGGCCTACCTTCCAGTCTTTGTACCCACCAACTGCCAATCAAACTGTGAAGGAGATATTGTGTACAATGAAAACAAGATCAGATCCTGTGTATTTAGTTGACATGTATATTTGTCACCAATACTTAATGCTGGGAAGGTTTCCCTCCCGGAAAAACTGAGATATTTAAATAAAGGATAGGTTTAGGTATTTTTCAGTTTCTAGGTCTGGTATTGTCTGCAGCACCGCAATATGTATGGTATATGTTTATGCAGCCTTTTTTGTGTGTGGTTTATTGGTGTGTAAATTTGCATAGACTAAGTGCTTTAGATTGTCCAGGATAAACAATCCCATCTTAATCCTTGTCTAGACTATGCTGGGAAATTGACTAGCATGCTCTTAATTCTCACTTCATTTTCCTTTTTAGTTCATTTCTTTTCTTTTAAATTTTGCTGTCTGTATTGCATATGTGCTTTTTTTCTACAACCCTAACTACTTTGCTTTCTTTTTTGTTTGCATGCCTTCTTCAATTTGTGTTGACTTCCAAAGGTCAAGGGATATAGAGGAGAAAAAAGAGGGAGGGCAGGAAGGGGATGAGCATGAGGAGGTATTTCCTGAGGAGGAGGAACAGGAACAGGAACATGAGGAAAAAGCAAAGGAACAAGAACTTAATGAGAAGGGGGAAGGGCAAGAAGTGACAGAAAGCTGTGATAAAGAGGAAAATAAAGAGTCAAGAGATGATGAAAAAATCCAAGATAATGAAACTGAGGAAGGGAA